TCTTTAGACCATTGTCTCTGCTAATCCCTTTTTTAACAGCATTCAAAGCAAGCCCTTTGGATCCTTGCCTCAAGAACCTTCTGTTTCTTTGAGATCTCCTGCTGTAACCTATTTGGCTTGGTTTTGCTTCTTAATTTACTTGCTATGTGGCTTGTAACTTAACACTTGCATTAACATGAGCTTCATTTTATGGCCAAGTTTGCACATTTGAAGAGGGTATAACCCATGAAAGCATTTCTGAAATAACATGAGTAAAAACAAACAGGAGAAATCTTTGATCACAAATATTACACTTCCATTTTGGAAGACAGGTGGGTTATTCCTGCAAACAAAGACTGATCCTTGAATGAGGAGGCACATTGCAAGGCACTTGTCTGTTCATATTTGTATTATGCTAAAATACCTTCTTCAAAAGTGCAGTAGATGCAGTCATAAAGAGAGTTCTTCTCTGTCTCTCTGTCTCCAGAGGCATTTTGCACCTGTTTATTTCCAGCTGTATAACTGTGTGGCTGCTCTATTCATGGGCATGAAATCCTTTTAGACAGCAGGGGAATTATTCTGCTCATCCGATTAATGGTTTAGTTGTTAAAATCCTTAAGTTTGTATTGACGGTGTTTATAGTTAACATTTCACAAGTCTGAAATATCTTCTGTAATCAGACATTTGCCTGAAAAGGCTGGCAAGAATTCTGCCCTTCCTGTTCACTCTCAGCACTTTATCCCTACGCTTGCTTATTCATTTTGGGTATGATGATACTCTGAGTGCATCCATACTCATGTGAGAATCTCAAGAAGTGCTGTATTAATGGGCTGACAGATTAGCTCCAGCTTTTGTTTCTCTTTCCGGTTCTCCTTTTGCTTTCCCTGTTTCACGTCTATTTCTAGCCTATTTCTGCACTTGGGATTTTATATCCATTTTGCTCACTTCACAATCCTTTGCCTAATTAGCTTGATATCATTGGGTCATCAGTTCCTAACTCTCCCCACTTGCTCTTATGGCAGCTGTTTTGAGGGCCAGTCCAAGCATTTCTGCATCTGTGGGGGTCTGCTACTGTTATTAGTACAATACCTTTGTTATCAAATGCATTCACAATTTATTTGCCAAGGCAAAGAATTCGTTGGATTTGAGATCTCGTTACAGCAACAGAATAGCAATGGCCTCAAAACTGTCCAAAGCCCACAGATGTGGGAATTACAATTAGAGGTTCTGTCATTACTATTTACCCAGGTTTCCTAAATTTTGAAGGAGCTAATTTAGCTTATAATCCACATTTGTGCTGTCCCTGTTTTCTCCACAGAGTTTTAAAACATTTTGATTGGTATGAAAACTGTATAATGAGCCCTGCTAGCTTGGTATTGCAAATATTGATTAGTGGGAGATTGTATTTTGGGTCTTCACTGAAAACCACATTCTATTGTGTTTCTCTCCGGCAAATATCTATAATCAGAACTGGGTATTGAATTTGGAAACCCATTGCGCTGTGTTTATATCCTTCCTTCCACTGACTATTTTGGAGTTGTAGACCCAATTAGGAAAAAAAAGCATATGACGCTGTGGCTTGTTACTTGGTATTGTTTTACCAAGAGAGCTGTGAGCATCAACTTCCTCATAATATCTTACACAAAAATGTGGAGATTGCTTATATTAAGAAGATAGATATCACTGTTAGAGATTCTGCAGTGTGGATGAGAGTAATCTGCATAAATAGCATTTTTCTCAGTAGCTCATTAGGAAAGTGTGCTGTCAAGGCAAAAATGACTACTGACAAATACAAGAAGAAACATAAGACAAGCAGGAGACATTCAGAATCTTCTCTAAAAAGACCAGCTTCTCAACAGGCCCTGAAATAGCCTTTTCTAAGCTAAAGAACTGTTATCAGTGCTATGTCATTTATGTTCTGCTTCATTGCATCCTCTTTAAATGGAATGAAGTTATGCAGTTGCTTAGATGGAGAGACTCTATTGATTGGTGTTTAGGCATTATACATGAATAGGTTAATGCCTGTGAACCTCCCAGTTGGAAGTTTCTAACACTAACTTACCGTTTCCATCAGAGATCAAAGTAATTTACTAACATAAATTATTTATACGTAGGGCTGAAAGAAATTCATTATAACAATAAGGCACCTCCATGAGATAATCACCATACCAGAAGCACTCATCTGTACCTCATAGCCCTGCAGGGGTTTGTAATTATCTCCTGCAAACCACACCTCTAGTGACTGCTTTCTGTTGCTTCATTACAGTGCTGCAACTTGCAGTACTTTGCCTGACAAATATCTTTAAAATTATATTTAAAAAAAAAAAAACAGCTTAGGACTAAAAACATGTGGCAGCAAAGCAAAAAGGAAAATGTTGAAATGCAAAAAAAAAAAATCAAGAATTGCAGTTATTACAGATTTTAGTGACAGCCAAAAAAACTACTACATTTAAGCAGTTGCCTGTGCTTTCTCTTCAAGTTATTCACTGGAATGAGCCCATCATTTGCTGTCATTTCTCTTGCTTGCTCGTGATCTATGAAAAACTCTGTTTACATGGTTCTGTCTTCTTTTCTATGTTTTGTGCAGCTAAAATTACTTTAAAAGAGGCTAAAAATGCATTAAATACTCTCCTAAGAACATTCTCCTGTGTAGACAACTGCAGAATTTGCACAAAGCATGACCTGATCATAGATAGAGAAAAGCCAGTGACAGGTGATGGTCTTCATGGTAATAACTGTTTGTAAAATATCTCCTCTGGACTCTACTCAGACATTCAGCTTGGAAAAAATACAATCCTTGTCCAATTTTAACAAATATTAGCAGTCCTAACACATACCAATCTCTACGCCAATGCAAAAGTACAAAAAAAAAAAAAAAAAAAGAAAAAAAAGAAAAAAAAAAGAAAAACAAAAACCCAGACCTTAAATTAGACCAATTAAAAACATAGCATAAATTTAGAAATTCCTTCAAAATAAATGCTTTGGTATCGTGTCAGTGGCACAGTACCTTTCAGAGGAATGTACATTTCTGTGCTACAACCAATGCACTGCCCAGTGAATGTAGGAGTGAGGGCAGAGCCCTTCAGAGTCAGTTGATACGTGAGCACAAAGGTGTTTGAGATGGTGGGGCTAAGATGAGCTTTCAGATATCCCGTGTCAGTCAGGGGTTAATGAATCAGCCAGGCTAATTTAAACCAAGTCTACCATGTAATGGAACAGGAATTCAAAGAACACAAGGTGGCTGGGTGAGCTGTGATCATGATAACACAAATAAATAAGCAATTGATTTCTTCCATTCTGAACAAGCTGGAAGTGATAGATCAACTTCACCATTTGCCCAGCCAACAGTGCTTCCCAAACTGAATGTCAGAGGAGTGGAAGCATGCTTTGCTATCACCCCATCACGACATGCTCAGAGCAGATTGCAAAGCTGAAATCCGTAGTTCCAGGATAAGAATATGAGTTGAGATTTATAGCAGCTTGTTAAGACAGACAGGAATAGTGAGTCCCTTCATGAAAATATAGTTCATGCAGTGAAAGACATTCTGGGTTATTTCAGGTATGAGTTAAAAGCCTAATTTTTTTTACATCGGGATCTCTTCTTTTGAAGAAAATCACAACATCACTGTGGCCCTCCTCAGCCACATCAAGGTGTCTGAGATACCCCTTCCAGTATCCTCAGTTGAGTCTGAAGAATTGTAATCTACTTCATTGTTCCTCATGCAGAAACTGTGTCTTATCTTTCATCATTCATGCTGCTTTGTTTTTGGAATCCTTCCCAGTCATCCAGTACCCTTTTTGAGGCGGTGAAATACCATAACCAGATCAGTTTTCAAGATGTGGGCATGTGTATTCGACAGTATTTAATGTGTGATACATACATTTAACGTCATGAGCTGTTTTGTTCTACTCCATCTGATCACTTCCTAATTGCACACACTTTTGTGTTTGTTCCGTATGTTTTCTCACCATGGTGTTCATTGAGCTGGTTTTTTGCAGGGAACGATCTTTTACAGTCGCAAGGTCGCATCCCCAACTTGTAATAACTGGTTCAGAATCCATCACTTTATAGGTATTGCATTAAGTTTTTGAAAATTAAAAGGAACAATAACTACACCATGCTGAGAAGTTTTTAAGATTGGAGATTGCAGTCCTTCAGCAAGAACAGCATAAGCAGATTGTTGTATCCCCAAGGAAGACTTCCCAGACAGACCTTTGCACCTTTTTGGCATGGGAGGTAGATATAAACTTTGAAGTATAGCTGATAACCTCACATGCATTCTTCAGATAGATGTATTGTAGACATTTACTCAAACCTGGACAAAAAAGTGGGGTTTTTTTTGTTTAGTGTTTAAGAGCTATTGAGAGAAGAATGTAAGGAGAGCACAAAAATAGAATATATGCTTGCTGTTCAGTAAGGATTTGATTTTCAAAAATGCTCATGCAGACAGAGATGCTTAGATACTTATATTACACAAATTGAAACAAAAGTTTTTAAGATTGCATATGTGCTTTATTGTCAGTAGAAAGTACTTGTAAAAGCAGATGTCTTGTATTTGTATAGGTAGACATCTATGTCTAACTGCTATTGATGCTGAAAATGTGGCTTACTGCATAAAGTTAAAAGTCTCATAAATCACTTGGAAGCTTGAACTCCCTTTAGAAACTGGAAAAAAATAATGTCTTGGTTAATATTAAAGAGCAAACAGTATCTGTGGGAGTCTGATTGTCTGAGGTGAAGTGGTGGGCAGTGTAACTTGCTTTGCAGCCAGCACATCTTGTCACTGGGGCCCGTACAAACGGGCAAACTCTAGTTATTACAACAGTCTTGAGGCTATCAAGTATTCAAGCTGAGTATCTTGTGGCAGATATAGAATCTGTTGTTAATTTGAATGTTCTCTTTTACAACAGGGGTTTGAAATGTAATCCTGTTAATTTTCCGTGGGGTTTTTAAAACTACATTTTTTAAAGATTCAAAATGATTTAAAAAGAATAACACTATGCCTTGCTTGCTTTCACAGCAAGAAAAGCTGGGTGATATCTGCTTCTCGCTCCGTTATGTGCCTACTGCCGGAAAGCTGACTGTTGTCATTCTGGAGGCAAAGAACCTGAAGAAGATGGATGTCGGTGGTCTGTCAGGTACATGCATGAAAATCTGCTTGCAGAATTTTTCAGGATCATAAGGCAGAAAAACAACTCATTTTCCATTGGAGAGCTCTTTGTTGAGAGAGTAAGGGCTCCTGTTTGCTGTCTGAAAAATGCATTCTGTGTTTTCTGAATCTTAGGGCATGACTGAGTATATCAGAACTCATTCTAGCTTAAAAAGGAGAAATTTCATTATACAGTACATTCCAGTCCAAGACTAGGTGAAAAGTTAAACAGTCAGATAATGCTCTCTATACTTTCATTCTTTCCTGTTACCTGGAAATCAATATGGACTATTCGAGCAAGAGGAAAAACAAACCCTGACTACTATTCCTATTGTCTGTTTAATCTCATAAAATGTGAACATTTCCCTACAGTGTTACTGATAACACATAATAGGCAAACTCATCCCAGGTCACTGCTGACTATTGGTTGAGGTGCTAGGATAATTGTTTCTGCATTTGAAGGGCGTAGATGTGATTGCTCCCTTGAGCAGATCTGGGAGTGTTCTGCATTAATATGTACAGCAGCAATCACAGTGACAGTCCTGCTCTTCTGAGAGTCAATGAGGTTGGTACCTCCCACCTACAGATGGTCCTTGCAGCCTTTCCTCATCTTATGATGAGGCCACACAGGCAGTGAGTGGGATGATATATGCCATCCCCAGGGGAGGCTGCCATCAACTTGGGGCACTGAGGCTGTGTCCTGGGTCCTACTGGAGCTCTGTGTAGGCTTCTGCTGTCTGCTGTGTCTGGAATTCTTGGACACAGGTTACTGACTGAATTGCCAATTAACTGAGATCAAATTAAATAACAAGATGCTTCATAAGGAGAGGTATTTAGAAGAAAAGTTTGTTTTATATACCTTCTGTTAAAAAGACACAGTTTTTACAGACCACTGACAATGAGGATACTTCTATCACAGCTCTAGAACTGAACGCTTTTACAGCTGTCATTAACACACAGCTGATGTACTTGTTCATCATGAAGTAGCAAGTGACAAACAGAATGGTAAAGTGTTTGGCTTTCATTTTCTCATAGTCTTAGCACAAGGTAAGAGGTAAATCTAAAGCATACGTAGGCATAGAGGCCTGCTCACAGTAAGCCTTTAGGTTTCATTTACCACCTTTGATGAACAGTAACGTGAGGCCTTCACAAAGTGAAAGGAGATGAGATCTCTTACTAGAAACTTTTCCTTTATTCTACCTGTTTCTGAAGTTTTCTGCTGTACCGCAATAGACATCAGAAAGACATGAAAATATTGTAGTTGTTCCTGAATCAAATCTAACTTTTTGAACACCCATTCTAAAATGTGAACACACCAGTATTTGTTTCCTTAATGCTTGCACTGAACCGATTTCAAATTAAAATTCTTAAGCACTTTTCTAATTGTTTCCTAATGAAAAATTACATCCCCATAGTGATTTTTTTTCTTTTTCACTGAAGCAGAGATCTGAGAGTCAAAGCATGTATATTCTTTTCCAAAATTTGAAAGAAGTGTGATGGATAATGGCTACAAAACTCATAAGAAAGGATCAAGGGAAGTACTAATGAGCTGAAAACCTTCTACAAACTTATGATGAAAAACATAATGCACTGTGTTGGAAATAACTATGAGGAAATGAATGTGCTATATGCTGAAGCACCGAAACAGAGTAAAGGACATACAGATGCATTTCTGGGGAATTACAGATTTTGTTCTCCTTTATAGGGCCATACCACACTTGAAACACTGTGTTCTCTCAGAGACAAACAAACCCAATAGGATACCGTGGTTGTAGTAGGAATTCAGAAGTCCCTGACAGTGATAAACAGCAGCTAGTATGGTATTCCTGAGGCAGTAATTACAGATGGCTTAAAATGGATCCAGTATCTTTCATTAGGGAATTTATCTTTTGAATAAATTATGCAGAAGTAACTATTAAAATCCAGCTGAGATTCTGTTGTCATTATTCACACTAAATAATACCTGCTTTCAGAGTGTGGTACTGTTAAGTGCTAGTGAAGGTGACAGGATTTTATCTCAATTAGGGAACACTTTCCCCACTACTTTGTTATTTTCTCTAGACACTAAAATTGCTTTTCGTTTTGCAAAACTGAGAGTTTTGCATTGCAGTGGAGGTGGGAAAATGCTAACAATCAAATGCTATCTCAGTCTGAATGCTACTTATATGCTCAACAGCACTTACTGTCACCAAAGGAAGACCATTAGCAAGAGGGGAAAATTATGTAGGTGTCACAGCTGGAAAAAAATAAATTAGAACTTTGACAAAAATTGCCAAAAAGTCTCTCACAGTTGAGGTTAGCATGTTTAGAGCTTAGGTTCCTTTCTGTTATTCTCTCTTGTTTTGGAGAAGATACTGGAAAAGCAGAAAATAGGCAATTGGAAATGGCTCCTCTTTCTCTTGCATCATTTTTGCCTTTCAGTGGAGTTTATCCGCATTTCATGAAGGAGGAGCAAGGCGCTGGCTTCTGCAGGAGGTCTGCCAAGCATTCACAGCAAACAGCAGGCAGCTCTGCAGTTTCCTTCTGGCTGCTGCCCTGAACATCTTGTTATTACTGCTTCTACTGAATATCTGCTTTGCTCTTCAGTGATGGAGAAAACTTTAGCAATTGTGTATCTGTTGTCCCAATACGAAGAGCAAGTCAGTCACTGTGGCTCAGCAGTCTTCTGAACTCCTTTTTAATAATTCATCAAAAATTGGAGTGCATCCATAACTGTGGTCAGTTGTACTTTAAAATATGCTTGATTTTCAACATATTTATTTGTACTGTGTAGAAATAGAGCACAGTTAATAAAGTACCTATCCTGATTATGAAACAAAGTAGCTTTCTTAGCTACTTTGTTCTATTGGCAATAGCTTAATGCCACTAGTCAATCTGTGTGTCCAATTGAATGGTTACTACAGTTGCAGAAAAAGTCTTTATCTCCAACATTTTGAACTTTTCCATAAATTTTATAGACAGTCAAAAGCCAGGCATAAATTACTTTAGATAGACAATAAAAGACAACAAACTAATAATCAACTTTATTAGAGTCCTTGTAACAAATCCAGATCACCCATCTGAGCAATCAACTCCCAGGTCTTAAACTTAATTGCAACGTCAAGCTGTGGCTAAAGCAAACCTTGGCTTAAGCACTGGAACTGTTCATCCTGAGCTCATCAAGTCACCATGACAAGTGGAAATTATTACTTCTGGTTAGTGAGGGCCTCTGGCAAACAATTATGCATGTTTTAAAACCACATTTTAATTATTTAAATTATATTCAAATGCATTTTAAATGAATCTGACATCTGGCAGGTGAAATGTAGGAATGTTAACTATAAGGAGGTCATTTTTATTTGAATTTGGTAAACTGGAGTTACACGGAATTATAGGCATACTTCACCCCAAATGTCTAAGAGACCTAGAAGCTTCTGTCTTACTGAAAATCAAGGGAACTTAGACTCTCAAGTCACTGTGTTTGTTTTTTTAATTGCCTTTAGATGATGTAGAAGATTTTAAAACCAGCTTGCAGTTTAATCTCTCCAGAAAGCCCATAAAGACACAGTCCAACTAATTCCTCTATAAGGGCACAATGCATCTCATCAGTGCCTTTCAGTTCACAAAGACTGTCTATGAATTATGATACATTATTCAGGTTTACATTCTCTTCTGCTCCAGAAAGAGAAGAAATTATCTGCAGCTCCCCTGTGATATATTCATTTAAATCAGTGGTAGTGATTTCAGTTACTAATTTAAATAAGTATAAAGCTTTTATCTGAAGTCATTTTAATCTTGTGTTTGGTTTCGGTTTTTTTTCTTATTTTCTAAAGAAAAAGATTCTGGTTAAACCCTTAGCACATCTGACTAGCAGATAAGTGCAATAAATACAGTGCTATTTATTACACAGAAGGATTCCCAATACCAACACACATTCATGTAGGCAGTTCTGTAGATTTCAGTGTGTTTAGCTGTAGCTGGCATTTATGTTCATTTTTGTTCCTGACACAAAATAAAAGCTTTCAGCTCAATTTCCAGCAGCTTTCCCTGCTTTGACTGAACCAGTCTTTGAAATAAATTACCTGAAATGAGTGCTGGCACCTGAACAGACTGTTGTTATGGCTTTTTAGCTACCCAGGCCCTTTGGCTTAAATGCCTTTTCTTACGAAGTTCAGTGACTATGTATTAATGACAAAAAAAGTTTTATTTCCAAAATGTGTCATCTCTTAGTAGCTGATAATAATTTCAAGCTTTAACATATCTTATCTTCTTTCTGGGATTCATTTCAACAAGGTTCTTTTCTTCTTAAAAACTTGGAAAGATACGGCATTATTGTGTTACGTGTTATTTTAGTATGCTTAGATTTTAGTCATTCTAATTACTGCAAATGTATCCTAGTAGGAAGCTTTTTGCTTCCCTTATCTTCTTTGCCTTGCTGCCTCTCGCCATCCCCAAGGTCAAATGGAGGTTACTGATGGAGATGAGGACCCAATTAGAAAAGTCTCAGCTAGCACTTAGGAATTGTCATAGCACAGTTCACAGATTATGTAAACCCCTAAACTGTATCCACTTATGCCAAATCAATGTTTAGGAAGAAATGCAAAGGCTGTGATTGGATCCATGTGATCTTCCTTCTGCAGGAAGCTGCAGATAGAGCCACAGCAGAAAAAGCAGCCTGTAATCCAGTCCATCATGTGTGAAAGCTAATCTCAATATTTATGAGCTATAAATAGAAAATACATAGTTCCTCTTTGTATCTGTCATGGAAATATTATAAATCAGAGCCATCTCAGGGGACCAAATGGTACTACATCCGAATAAAGCTGGGTTTCTACACTTATGCATTTATTTTAAATACTGCATTCAAATTCAAAAGGCTTTGAATGTCTTATAGCAGATTTGAAAAATAAAAATATTGTTTAGAGGCTGTCTTTGAAGACAGAGTAAAGGCTCATGAATTATGCAGGCAGAGCATTCACTTTAATAACTTCATTAAAACGTAAGAAAGCT